GGTTAGGTTTAGAGATGATGATATAATSACAGATATTGTCGATAGAGAGAGAGATAAACGAACGATGTTGACTGCATTTTTTGATAGGAATAGAACAGACATGAGTGCAAGACAATATTTGTACAAAGACTTTCTAAAACACTACACGTGGAATTGGAGCACACGTTGATGGAATCCCCTGCAAAGAGGATCAATGAAAGGCCGACTTGTGTCTGCAAATCCAGCTGAAGGAGAGCGGTTCTACCTACGCCTACTTTTGTCTCATATTACTGGGTCTACTTGCTTTGAAGATCTATACAGTTTTAACGGCTTCCTGCACCCTACATTTCGCAAAGCATCTCTTGAGAGAGGGTTAATAGAGAACGATGACAACTTATCCCAATGTCTTGGAGAGGCCTCCTTATTTCAATTTCTGGCTGCTCTTAGGAGGTTATTTGCCACGATGTTGATTTATTGTGAGCAAGGAGATGTTCGCAAATTATGGGATGACCACTATGATTCACTCTCTGAAGATTATACGTGACAATGTGAAAGTGCAAATAAAGTCCGTAATCTGGTTCTAGCTGATATCCTTGTTTTTCTACAGTCTATGGGTAAGAGTCTTGATGATTTCGATCTTCCAATGGTTGATGCAAATTCAAATTTTCAATCTGGAGAATTTCATGAGGTACAAGAGGAATGCTCTATAGTTGTGGAAGATGAACACTTGCGTGCCCGAGACTCTCTGAATTCTAACCAGAAATATGCATATGATGAGATCATGAGGCACGTAGACGAGGATTGTCCAGGAGTGTTCTTTATAGATGGTCCGGGTGGAACCGGGAAGACTTTTTTGTACAAAGATTTGCTTGCCAACATCCGTTCACGTGGTCTTATTGCTCTCGCAACCGCTTCGTCGGGTGTTGCTGCCAATAATATGCCCGAAGGGAGAACAGCTCACTCTAGATTCAAAATTCCTCTGAACCTTGATAATAACTCGATGTGCAACATAAGAAAACAGAGTGGGGCTGCTAAATTGATTCGAGATGAAAAAATAATCATCCGGAACGAAGCGTCGATGGCAAAGAGGCAGGCGGTGGAGGCGCTCGATCGAACAATACGAGACATCATAGGGGTGGCACTCCCATTCGGCGGAAAGATAATGGTTTTGGGGGATGATTTTAGACAAGTATTACTGGTCGTGAGGTGTGGAACCCGAGCACAGATTGTAGATTCTAGCTTGAGGATGTCACCTCTTTGGGCAACGATTAAAAAGATACGGTTAATGCTCAATATGAGAGCACGCACTGATCCATGGTTTTCAGAATTTTTACTAAGAGTCGGTAATGGAGATGAAGAAGCGGTGGACGAAAGCTTTATTTGCATTCCGGATGACATGACCATTCCCTATGCTGATAAAGGTAAGTCAAAAGATGCGCTGATTGACGCGATCTTTCTATCTCTGCAAATCAACGGGGCTAATTCAGATTATATCATTTCAAGGGCGATATTGTCAACTAAAAACGAGAATGTCGACGAGATTAATGATCAGTTGATCGACAAGTTTTCTAGAGATGAAAAAATATACTACAGCTTCGACGAAGCAGAAGATGATAAGAACAACATCTATCCGATGGAGTTCTTAAATTCTTTAACTGTTAGTGGTTTGCCTCCTCATTACCTTCGTCTCAAGATCGGATGCCCAATAATACTGTTACGAAATATCGATCCCTCGAATGGATTGTGTAATGGCAGTAGATTGATATGCAGAGGCTTTCAACAGAACGTCATCGATGCAGAAATAGTTGTTGGTCAACATGCTGGAAAGAGAGTATTTCTTCCGAGAATTTCCTTATGTCCATCTGAATACAACATGTTCCCGTTTAAGATGAAGAGAAAACTGTTTCCAATTCGGCTTAGCTTTTCTATGACAATCAATAAAGCTCAAGGCCAAACAATTCCGAATGTAGGTGTTTATCTA